TTATTAAATCTGACTAATTCAGTAAATTTTGTTCTAAAGTATTCTCATCTACAGGTTCAAACGAACTGTATATGTAATTTCAAACTGTTTTGATTTGTTGAAACTTTCTGTTAGAATTTTATAACTTATTTTTATTGTCTAACTTGTTATAATTAGTTCGAAATTATTACAACTATTATTGAAATTGATTCGTTAGAAATTAATTTAGAAATTGTGATTTGATACTAGAAAGTATTATAACTACTTAAAAGTTTTACTACTACTCATGTATAAAACAATTCGCTGAATTTAAAAATTTAATTTAAAAAAAACATTTTAATTTTAAGAAATATATTCAAAAAAAGATCAAAATAAAGAAAGGGAAAAACTAAAAAAAAGTAAGAAGAAAAGATAAAAAAAAATAAGATACAGATGTAGACATATGTATGTATTAAGTAACATAGAAGAAGATAAAAAGAAGATTTAGAAAAGATTAAAGAAAACGATAAATAAAAAGATTACTAGTAGAATAAATAAAACCCGAATATAATAAAAAAAGAGAAATAAAAATAGAAAAAAGTTGAAGCAATAAAATAGTGAAATGAACAAAAAAAAATTTAAGAAGCTGAAAATAAAAAGAAGAAAAATACTAAAAATTACAATTCTAATTGATTTAAAATCTTAAAACTACAATTATTACTTAAATTGTAATTATTATTATTATTATTTTACAAACTCACAATGAAAATTGACGACATGAAAAACGAAGTAAACCTTATTATAAACATGTATTTATCTTCAATTGTCAATGGAAGAATTAAAGTTATATATAAAAAAAAGAAGAAAAATTGAAAAATAAAAGAAACAACACTGATGGACATACAATACACACCAACAATATAAGAAAGACCGTAAATTAAATAAAAACAAAGAAAGAGAGAATCTTAGTTTTTAATGCGTTTTATTTTTTTTTTTTTACGACCACCTAGTAATGCGAGTCACGAGGCACTGACGCTTAAGACACATTCAGGGCAACACATAGTTTCATAAAGCTTACAAACTCAACCCCTTAAGCTTTCATTCTCACCACCCCTCACCACCCATCAAAACAATAATTTTTTCCAAAGTTTACATATACAGAATCCATTAATTTCACCTCAATCATCACGCGCATTTTTTTTTGCTTAAAATTTTTTATACTTTCATTACTACATACAATATTCTATATTGAAGTTGAAAATAAAACTACATTAAGGCTACAGTGAGTCTAAATTAAACCTAACTTAAACCAATATTGAACCTAAGTTGACCCTACAATAAAACTACTTTGAATCTACATTGACCTTTGCTTATACATTAAAACTATGTTAAACCTTCCTCTATCCTGTTTTAATCCTGCATTAAAACTACTTTAGACCTGCGTTAAATCTACGTTGAAACTATTTTGATCCTAAATTGAATTTACTTTGACTCTACAATAAAACTAGTTTGAACCTACATTGACTCTACATTGCAACTACCTTGAGCTTACGTTGACCCTAAATTGAACATACTTAGACCCTAAATTTGAACTGCCATCAGACTAAGTTGAACCTATTTTAAAACTACTTAGATCCTACATTGAAACTAGTTTGAACATATAATGAACCTGCTTTGATCCTACATTAAAACTAGGTTAAACCTAAGTAGAACCTACGTAGAACCTAATTTGAAACTACTTTAAACCTACATAAAACCTACGTAGAACCTATTTTGATCCTAAATTGAACTTACTTTGAACCTACAATAAAAATAATTTGAACCTACATTGACCTTTTTTGATTCTACATTAAAACTGGGTTAAACCTTCGTAGATCCTACTTTCATCCTACAATAATGCTACTTTAAACATACGAACAACCTATATTAATTCTACATTAAAACTATTTTAATCCTACGTGAAAACCACTTCAATACTACTTTAAACCTACGCTAACCTACATAGAACCTACTCTAATCCTACATTAAACCTATGTTAAATCTACCAAAAACCTGCTTTGATACTACTTTAAACCTATATTAAACAAACGTTGAACCTATTTTGATCCTAAATTGAACTTACTTTGACATTACATTAAAACTACTTTAAACCTACGTTGACCCTAGATTGGTACTGCATTGAACATAAGTTTAACCTGCTTTAAAACTATTTTGATCCTACATTGAAACTGCTTTGATCATTATACATTGATGATAAATTTAAATTGACATCAACATAAATTGAACCTATTTTAAAACTACTTTGAGCCTGCTTTGATCCTACATTAAAACTATGTTAAAAATACTTTGAATCTAACATTGACTTGCTTTGATTCTACATTAAAACTAGGTTAAACCTTCGTACATCCTACTTTCATCCTACAATAATACTATTTTAAATCTACTTAGAACCTACTTTGATCCAACATTAAAACTACTTAAAACCTATAGTGAACCTACATAGAACCTACTGTAATCTTACATTTAAACTATGTTAAACCTTCCAAAACCTACTTTGATCCTTCTTTAAACCTATATTAAACCTACGTAGAACCTACGTGACCCTACATTGAAACTACTTGACCCTGCAATAAAACTTCTTTGAACCGACATTGACCTACTTTGATTATACATTAAAACTATGTTAAACCTACGAATAACCTACTTTAAACCTATAATAAACCTACGTAGAACCTATTTTAATCCTAAAGTGTACTTACTTTGACTTTAAAATAAAACTACTTTGAACCTACGTTGATTCTACATTGGAACTACCTTGAACTTACGTTGAACCTACTGATACTACTGCTAATCTACGTTGAACATTCTTTGACCTTACATGGGTACTACCTTGAAACTAAGTTGAACCTATTTTGAAACTACTTTGAACCTATATTTGACCAACATTCTATTTACTTCGATCTATTTGCTGTGTCCTTAGGACGCCAAATTTCACTTATAAGCGTTTAGACCCTAGACAACGAAACCTAAAAAATAAAACTAGACCTAAGTTTTAAGCCTTTCTTTGCTTATTGTCCTTTATCCTTTCCTAAAGTTTTGAGGTTATGGTCACCCTGTGACTCCTAATACGAAAAAATACTAAAAACCTAGAACCCAAATTTTGAAAAATATCCTATGCCATCCCAAAATTTGATAAAAAATAATTTATTATTGAAGAATATAGAAATATTAAGAACTGGTCAAAAAATAAAGGAGGCAATAAAAAAAAAGTATATCAGAAGAATGAAAAACAGGGGTTGAAAAAAAGTAGAGTTCCTCTTCTTTCTTTTTTTTTTTTATCAGAAATTGAGATTTAAAAGCAATTCTTATTTCAGGTCACGGCGACATGAGTCGATATCTGGTGCTTGCACGACGACTCCTTTCTCCCAGAGGCCGGTCCTGATCGCCACTATTATAAAAGGGCGAAAAAGGAATCAAGGGTAGGAGGGGGCAAGACTGAGAGGGGTCGAAATAGGTGAATTTTGTAGGTATAGTGTGTTCGATTGGCAATATGTGACAGCACGAAGTAAAGTCGAAGTTGAAATTCAAAACCGAGAAAATAACAGATTCGAAACCTTGGTGCGGGCGCATAAAATATAGTTTTCAATGATTGGGAACGTCAGCTGTATATATATATAGAGCCAAAAGTCTCAAATACAAGCGCAAGCCAAAACGTGTTAGCTTTCCCACAGTTATCAAATCAGACAGTAACCTCGTCTCTGTCTCTCTAGTTGTAGTTGAATGTTTCTCTGTTTTTGGACAAAAATTGATATTGCATTTCCTCGTGTCTCTTATGTATTTTTTATATTTAATTTAATTTAATGCATAATGTTTAATTTTTTAAAGGCTTGCAAGTTTTAAAATCATTAAAATTTTATCTAAATTTTGAGGTTATGTTCGTTTCTTGGTTAGGGGAATTTGAAGTTGTTTGTCGGACATAGCCTCAAACCCAACGGTCCTTTGACCTATGTCTTTGAATTTTGAGGTTATGTTAGACCTATGATCTTGAATTTTGAGGTTATGTTTGAACTAAGGCCTTGAATCCTGGTAACCTATGCTCTTGAATTCTCTTCAACATAAATGCACAGGTAATAAAAATTGCCAAAATCATTGTCAATTTGTAACCTGTCTAGTAAATATCGAAGCCATAGGAGAGAGAGAGAGACAATCGATATATCGAAAATCTCGATTCTGCGCAGTACAATAGCGATTTAGCAAAATTGTATAACGCGGTAAATTTAAAAATAAAAATTGTAAATAATAAAAATTTTGTTCGAGTAATCATATCAACAATTAAAAAAAAATATAATTGACGAAAAAATTATAAAAATTCACAATTCTTCCTTATTTTCCTTGACTTTTTTTTCGAATTATTTCGTACTTATTTTGAATTCAATTTTTTATATAAAATTCCTACCAATTTTGTACAATTATGGATTTTTTTCGTCCTCATTTTAACAAAAAATTATCTCACGCTACAATGTGTAATAAAATTTAGTTTTCCTAGAATTATTTTCTTTTTTCATCTTCATTTTTTTTTTTGTTCTTGAAAAGAATGTAGATGTTATTATTTAATATTGAGAATGCGGATCGTGTAATTTAGGTTATAAGAAATTCTTTAACAAATTATACTCGCCTCTATTATTATTTTTTTTTTTTAACACTAAACTCACACTAGTCACGAAATAAAATGAACGTTTTTCACTGGGTTATCCTAGAAATCGGCTTCTTGAATATATGTTCTCTATTTTTTTTTTTCTTTCAATTTTTCTTCTACACTTTTTTATCTCTTCACAGCATGCTATACAATTTCAACAAAGTCTCAATTTTGATCCATAAAATAAAGAGAAATGCGCGTAAAATTTGAAAAAAAAAATCATTTTTCTTTCGTTTATAAAAAAAAAATTAACTGCAACTTTTAAGTTGTTAAGTGATTTTGTTTTCTAAGATTTGAATTTTTTAAAAAGAAAATTTAAAATAATCAGTAAATAATAATAATTTACCTCACGGAAGCTTGAAAGGTCTTGTCATTCCCTTCTTCTTGAGCGATTCGACTGAAAATTCCTTTACATAATCTTGGAGTGAGCCCTGGATCATCCTGTATAGAAAAATTATTATGTATAAATCATTAAAAATAATTTTAAATTTTTATAATTTAAAAAAAAAAATTTTTCTGTCTTTCTATTGAAAAAAGTAGGGTAGTATCAAAATTTTTCAAATTCAAGTTTTTGATATATTTCTAATCATTAGCGAATATTTTACTGTTATTCTATTTAGAATTATTGAAATTTAAAAAATCGTTAAAAAGCGATTTTTGCTTACAACTAGAAAAAAATATCATGATAACTATGGAAATTTTTTTCACTTTTTACAGTTTTACAAGACGCATCTTTTGACTCATTAGCGATTATTCTACTGTTATTCTATTCAGAGTTATTGAAATGTAAAAAATCGGTAACAAACGATTTTTGATCCTAACTTGAAAAAAATATTATGATACTTATAGAAATTTTTTTACTTTCTACAGTTTTTCAAGACGCATCTTTTGACTCATTGGTGAACATTCAACTGTCATTCTATTCAGAATTTATGAAATTTGAAAAATCGAGAAAAAAAGATTTTTGCTCCTAACTTGTAAAAAATATTATGATACCTATGGAAATTTTTTTCACTTTTTACAGTTTTACAAGACGCATCTTTTGACTCATTAGCGAAAATTTTAATGTTATTCTATTCAGAGTTATTGAAATTTTAAAAATTGAGAAAAGTCGTTTTTTGCTCACAAATAGAAAAAAATATTATGATACCTATAAAAATTTTTTTCACTTTTTACAGTTTTATAAGACGCATCTTTTGACACACTAGCGAATATTTTACTGTTATTCTATTCAAAGTTATTGAATTTTAAAAAATTGAGAAAAATCGTTTTTAGCTCACAACTAGAAAAAAAAATCATGATACCTATAGAAATTTTTTTCACTTTTTACAGTTTTACAAGACGCATCTTTTGACTCATTAGCGAAAATTTTAATGTTATTCTATTCAAAGTTATTGAAATTTTAAAAATTGAGAAAAGTCGTTTTTTGCTCACAAATAGAAAAAAATATTATGATACCTATAAAATTTTTTTTCACTTTTTACAGTTTTACAAGACGCATCTTTTGACTCATTAGCGAATATTCTACTGTTATTCTATTCAGAGTTATTGAAATTTTAAAAATCGGTAAAAAACGATTTTTGATCACAACTGCAAAAAAATATTATGATACCTATGGAAAATATTTTCACTTTTTAGTTTTACAAGACGCATCTTTTGACTCATTAGCGAATATTTTACTGTTATTCTATTCAAAGTTATTGAAATTTTAAAAATTGAGAAAAATCGTTTTTTGCTCACAAATAGAAAAAAATATTATGATACCTTTAAAAATTTTTTTCACTTTTTACAATTTTAGAAGACGCATCTTTTGACACATTAGCGAATATTTTACTGTTATTCTATTCAAAGTTATTGAAATTTTAAAAATTGAGAAAAATCGTTTTTTGCTCACAAATAGAAAAAAATATTATGTTACCTATAGAAATTTTTTTCTCTTTTTACAGTTTTACAAGACGCATCTTTTGACTCATTAGCGAATATTTTACTGTTATTCTATTCAAAGTTATTGAAATTTTAAAAATCGGTAAAAAACGATTTTTGATCACAACTTCAAACAAATATTATGATAACTATAGAAATTTTTTTCACTTTTTACAGTTTTTCAAGACGCATCTTTTGACTCATTAGCGAATATTCTACTGTTTTTTTATTCAGAGTTAATAGAATTTAAAAAATTGAGAAAAATCGTTTTTTGCTCACAAATAGAAAAAAATATTATGTTACCTATGGAAATTTTTTTCACTTTTTACAGTTTTTACAAGACGCATCTTTTGACTCATTAGCGAATATTTTACTGTTATTCTATTCAAAGTTATTGAAATTTTAAAAATTGAGAAAAGTCGTTTTTTGCTTATAATTTTTAAATTTTTTAATTAAATTTGACATAATCATAAGCAACTTGTAGATTATATTTAAAAAAGAATCAATTGACCCATTTTTGAACATTTTACTGTAAAATATGACGAATTTATTGATATTTCAAAATTAAAAAATTGATTAAAACGTGACTTTTAATGTTTTTTAGTTATAAAAATTTTGATGTAAGATTTAATCTATTTCATCTATTTTATTGACTTCATATATATATATATATTTCTATGAGAAAACAAAGTATTTATAAAATGAACACAAAAAAATTCATACTTCAACCTGGCAGCGGTTTTTTTTTATTTTTTTCCTCTTTTTCATTATCGCTTACCTTGGTTCCCATCATTGTATATGTTTTGCCCGACGAGCTTTGACCATATGCCACCAGACAAGCATTATATCCGGCAAATACAGAATCGAGAACCGATTCTCCAAGGGTCTCGTAAATTTTCGATTGTGTTGCATAATTTTCCGTTTCTGAATTTGATGAATCAAAACAATAATCAAAGCCATAAGTTTTAATACGTTCACGACTATCTCCAGTTTTCCATGATGAAACCTTTAAATTTGTCAATGATATCTCATTGGATTGTGCCCGAACAACAATTTTTGAACCAGTGAAATTCAATTCGCTAAAAGCAGACAAAAAAAAAAACATAAAACGATTATTAATTAGATTTTTTTTTAATTTAATATTAAATTTTAGATTTATATAATATTTATAATAATATAAATATTTATTTTGATATTTAGTTTTAAATTAAAAATATTTTTTGATTATAAAATTCTTTTTAATCACCTATATATATATATGTACTTTTGAATAATATATTCATAAGTGAAAGTGAGAGTGAAAGTGTAATGCGCAGTAACAGATAAATTAGAGATTTCTGTTACCGACTTTCGGTAACATAATAATTACTGGCATTTTAGTTAAAAAAAAATCAGAATTGTAAAAAACTATTTTTTTAAAAATATTTCAAAATTTATTAAAGTGAAATTTTTAAACTACAAAAATATTCGAATTTACAGGAGAATAATATTTTATAAGACAATAAAAACATTTTTTTCTTTATTATAAAAAAACATGATTAATTTTTTTTTTTTTTTTGCATATTTTATTTCACAATTATTATTAAAAGTGCACTCAATGAAAAGATGACAATTGCAAATAAAATTTATCTGATGTCGAGATGGTTAGAAAATGTTCGTGATTCTCTATTTAGCAGTATTTATACGCCTCGTCTGTGCCCTATTTAGCCACTAGAAAATATTCGTTGAAGCCAAATGTTTCGAGACTCGTTTGATCTTTCATTTCTCTCATTAAATTCAGAATCTAATTATTTTAATTAAACTCCCAATACTTCAGGAAAATTTTAATTAAAATAAAACTTACTATATTATTTTATTTCATATATATATAAACTGTTATCCTTGTATTTAATTTTCAAGAATTTAATTAAAATGATGAGCTTAAAAAAAATAAGTAAATAAAAAAAGGATAGAAATAAAAAAAAATATACCTATAAATAAAAGAAAATAGAAATAAAAAAATTATAAACAAAAAAAAAATATGTTTAAATTACATAAATAATTATCAATTTGAAAAAGAGAATAAAATTTCATTTTTAAATTAATTAAATTATTTGCAAATTATTTTTTTTCGACGATATTTCTGGGAATTCTTTTTTTTTTTCTTCTCTTTTTCTTTATGACATCTGAACTTCCGGTGACCCTGCTTTCTGTTATAAGACTGTCACATCTTTCTTTGATGGCGTTTTGTTTCTATTTCACTTCCACCCTTCTTAGTGCTATATATAAAAGCTCTTCATCCAAGTAAACAGGCGACTATAATGTTATTTATTATATTTTAATTATAACTTTCGCGACGTACCAAAAATATCGTCTCTTTATTTATTTATTTATTTATTTACTGTATCTTATAATTTTTATTAAATAATAAAATAAACAAAAAATAATTTTAATCTTATTAAAAATTTTAATCCCAAAAAAATATATGTTTCTTTTTAATAATAATAATAATAAATAAATAATGTTTTTACAAATAAGAATTTTTTTAATTTAACACTACTAAAAATTTTAATTGTTAAAAATTTTTTTAAATAAAAAAATTATTTACTGTTTTTTATTATGTTATTATTATTAATTAATTATTAATTATAATTATTAATTATTAATTATTAATTATTAATTATTAATTATTAATTATTATTATTATTATTATTATTATTATTGTTATTGTTATTGTTATTTACATTTATTATTGTGTGTCGAAAAATAATAATAATAATAATATTAATAATAGTAAATAATTTTTTTATTTTTTAATTTTTCAAATAAATTTTTTTATATTTATTAATTTGTATAAATATTTATAAAGTATTACCGTTCTGAGATAGGCCTCACTCTCACAGCAACTTTTATGTTGGCCATTTCTTCATTCTTTTAATTTTAATCATAAGCAAAATCATTGGCACTGTATTCTAATTTTTTTGAAATTATTCACTAACTTTTATTTTTTTGAACTTCACTTATTTGTCCATATATATATTTTTCTTTTTAGAAAAAATTAGTTTTAATTATTTTTTTGTCACCTAAAATTGCATAAAAGTAAGTTAAACAAATTTTGCCATTATCATTTATTTAAATTTAATTACGAGAATTTATATTAAATTGTTGTTAATAATTATTATTCACATAATTATTTACATAATAACACAGTTCGGAGTGCGATTATGTATTTTATTTTTACTTTTTTCTTTTATTTTGAATTTCGCTTTTCATTTTCACTTTCATTTTCACTTTCATTCTCACTTTTACTCTCACTTTTACGTACTTTTATTTGTATTTTGAACTTAACTAACATTTTTCATTAAAGAAAAAAACGAAAATAAACGTGAAAATGAAAATCAAAGTGAAAGTGAAAATAAAATTACAAAATTGCACAATAGATTTAATTTCATTAATATATTTTAAATTATATATTTTTTTTAATTTTGGGAATTATTTAAATTTTTATTTGTATTTTAATTATTATTATATATACATTAATTATTATTAAATTGTCAATTATTAATATTTAAATTATGTTTATTAATTATTATTTATTAATTTTTTCAAAAAATTCATTTATAATAATTAATAAATGATAATTAATAAAACTGTAATTATTATTTCTTTGCTATTGTTGTTATTGAATTTTTGAAAAATGAAAATTAAAAAAAAATAAAAGCCTTTGTTACACGGTAGATGAGACAAAATCGCGAAACACAATTCTCCTATTTTTATTTCAAAAGCTCTGAATGGTTATTTTTTTTTTTTTTTCATCATTTGAAACCTCATTAATGTCTCTGATTTTTAGGTGAGTTTCACAGTCTCATATTACCAGAAACACTCGTCGCTTGTATATGTACATGTATTTTTAGAACGATTCACATTCTCCTCGGATGTTGGAAAAGAGTCGAAAAAGCACTTGGCGCGTCACACAAAAACTCCCCCCCAAAAAAAAAAATTGTCACATCATGGTCTTGAAAATGAATTTTTTAAAAATTCTTCATTTTCACAAACAAATTATTTTTTATTGAAAATTTTTTTTCAAAATCACGAAAGAAATTTAATATATTTAAAAAAAAATTATTTACCAATTTCAAATAAATATTATTGTCAATATTATAAATTTAATTTTCTGTTTTTACATTAAAATCATTAATAAATTATTATTATTATTATTTATTATATTTATAATTTAAAATGTATTTGTTTTCATTTATAATTTACTTTTAATTAGAATTCATTTTTCTTCACTTGTTAGTTTGAATCATTTTCAAACAATTGTAACCGTCAAAATGTTGTAACCAATCGTATTTAGTGTTAAATTTGGCGCGAAATTTAAAATTAAAAAATTTTCTCTTCAAAATAATTGTTGGTTAAAATTTAATTTTTAAAATTAATTTTTTGTATAAATAATAAATATTAAAAATAAAAATATGAAAAGAACGAGAGGGAAAATATATTTTCAATGGAAGATGAAGAAAAATTGAAAATAATCGCGAGTGTGTTGGATGACAGCACGTGTTATACTGTTGAGATGAAAATATCCAACGTCTTCTCATGAGTTGCCCCCCCACCAGATGAACAGCTGTGTGATCTTCTTGGTAGTGGGGTCCCTGAGACCCCATTTTGGATGTAGTTTTTCTTTTTTCTTTCACTGGATATTCATAGATCGAATAGTCCAAGTCCAAAGAGATTCGTCACTAACGCACTTGAGGTAATAGATTTCATATATAAAGATATTATTAATTTCATTTTTGTAATGAAATTACAATAATATATTATTATTTTCGCCTTAAATAAAAATTATTTAATTTAATTTAAAAAAAAAAATTTTTTTAATTAATTTTAATTTTTATTAAGATTATAAATTTTTAAACTTTACTTACATTATTTTATTTAAATTTAAAATTTTTATTTTATATAATTTTATGGAATTATTAATTATTATCTTATATGATTTTTCACTTAACCTATATTTCAACAATGTAGGCGTTACATCTTATTTTCTGTAATATTTTTGGTTATAAAGTTATTTATTTTCTATTTTATTTTAGATGTAGGCAAACGAACGAACTCATTATTCATCTTAAAACTCAATTATTCGTTGACAGCTTGCAAAGACCGTGAAGTACGAAAATGAGGATGCTTAAAATATTTTAGGAAAAAAATTTTAATGTGCAAAATTTATTAGGAGAAAAACTATTTTTATTTATTTAGGAAAGTTTTATTAAGTAAACAAATAAATTTTGTTAATTTATTTAAATATAACCATTTTTTTAAAATATATTATTTTCAGCTCTGTTTTTTTTGAAAAAAATTAATTTTTTAATATATAATTGCAATAAGCTTTTTTAAAGTTATGTTTTTTTATTTACAATAAATATTAGAATAAAGACAAAAAAATTTTTTTTTAATTATTATCGCTCAGAAAACAGAAATCTACATTACCGACTGTCGGTAAAACAGGAGAATTGCGATATCAAAAATACTGTTGTAGAAATCTACATAACCTACTGTCGGTAAAACAGGAAAATGACGTTATAAAAAAATTACCGACGCAGAAATCTACATTACCGACTGTCGGTAAAACAGCTTTAGCAAAAAACCCATGGTTCGATTTCCACGCAAGTTTTACAAAACTTATATAATATTATTTTCACGTTGTATTCTTTTAATTTTGTTTTTCAAAGATATTAATTTTTATTAATTTTGACTTTTTTGCGTTGATGAAAAAAAGGTTTTTTTGTTTGGTTATTTTGTACATTAAACATTTTTTTTTAATCTTATTTTTTATATAATTTTTTGTTATTTTTTACAAAAAAAACTTAAAGACAGGTACAACAATTATTTTTTTATTTCCATTTTTTTGAATCATGTACAAATGGATTTTGTTTTAAATTTAAAATATCATAACCTAGTTGCCTTGATAATATTTTCTTCGCACATGCGCTTTATAAAATATCAGATTTTCTAAAGCAGGTACGAAGCAAAAAAAAAGTGTCGCCCGTTCCTTTAAAATCTGTTTAAAATAAATAATAGTGCCATTTTTTATATATATATATATTTATATAATTTAAAATACGATAATTACAAAGTAAATAATTTAATTAATAATATATATACATTAGAAGATAAATATTTCAGTACCCCTTGATGTTACGTGTCTGGATCACCAATTGTGAGGTTAATTTTCCGTTTTATTTTGGAAACGTCATTAAAAAAATAAAGGGCTTTATTAGTAAAAAAATCTTCCCACTGCTTTTATAATAATTATTTACCATGATCACTTCAAGTATATAACTATATTTGATGTCAATAAATAGAACTTGATAAAATACACTCGTTGTCAGATATGCCTACACTTTTTTGTCCTTTTTTAACACACGTGTTGTCATGGTAACATATGCATTAGAAAAGGACAAAAAAAAAAGAGTAGACATATCTGGCCACGAGTTTACATCGAATTTCTTACAAAAAAAAAAAACTTTAAATAAAATGTCTCCCTCAATAATAATCAGTTTCTTGAGAATTGCACCCATATCTACAAATCTAAAAAAGTATATTTATCATACATTATTTCTAATGCGTGTCTGAACTCCTTTATGGCGGATATTTGCAATTGGATTAAAACCTAACCTATGGAATATTGGCTTATAATCCTTGTCGCGTTCTACGGACCATGGTTGAATGGGTTTCCATAGAGGATTTATAATTATTGGTGATAAAATTTTCTTCTGTGGCTCCTCCTTTTTGGCAAAATAATCAAAAATTTCGGAATTATTTTTCTCCACAATATGAGAAATATTCAATTCCTTCGGCACAACTAAAGAGTTTTCTTTTTCTTCTTTTTCTGCTTTTGCTGCTTTTTCAGCGTTCAATCTTTTATAGTACTCCATCGCTCTCTTACGGCTTCGAAGTCGTTGATTTTCTGATTTCGTATTCTTAGCCTAAACATAAAAATAATTATTTTATTACACTATTATATAGATACATCCACTTGCATAAATGCTGTCCCCACTCGCCATAATTTTCGTCAACTATCGCACCCTGCTCTAGTTAAAATTTAGTGAATTTATAGTAACTTTTAATTTTAACTATAAAGTCACTAAATTTTCAAAAGTTATGGATCAATTACGTAACTTTTTCCGGATTCCACATTCCGGATCTATATTTCGGTTTCCAAATTCAGGATTCCACATTCAAGATTCTGGATTTCACATTCCGTATTCCGCATTCCACTTTTCATATTCCGGATTCCAAAATCCGGATCCTACTTTTCACATTCCGTATTCTATATTCCGATCTCCGATTCCACTTTCAGAATGTAAGATGTGGAATCCGAAATGTGAAATCTGGAATGTAAAAAATGGAATCCGGAATGTGGAATCCAGAATATGGAATGTGAAATAAGGAATCCGGAATTTTCAAAGTGGGATCCGGAATGTGGAATCTGAAATACGGAATTTTGAACGTGGGAATGTGGAATCTGAAATACGGAATTTTGAAAGTGGGATCCGAAATGTGGAAAGTGGAATCCGGAATTCCGAATAAGGAATTTCGAAAATGGGATCCGGAATGTGAAATCTGAAATACGGAATTTTGAAAGTTGGATACGGAATGTGGAATCCGGAACTACTGCGTTTTTAGTTACTGTTAAAAATTTAAGATGAGTAACTTTCTTACCTTCTTAATAACATTAGTTTTTTTAATGCCTAAAGCATTCATATGATGATGATGATGATTATTATTATTATTATTGCTTTTGTTGTTGTTATTGCAGTTGTTGTTATTGCTGTTGTTATTACTGTTGTTGTTATTAAGGTTGTTATTATTACTGTTGTTGTTGTTGTTGTTATTGTTGCTGTTGTTATTATTGTTGTTATTGTTATTGTTTATATTGTACACAGTTTGGTTTGGAAAAATAATCATTGGAACAAAGAGCGACGTTTGTAATAATGAATTCCATGGTTCCATTCCAAGTGGAACAATGTTCATTTTTGGATTTATTGGTGTTGAATTTTCAATAATACTCCTTGGCGCTGAAGGATTAGCACCCAATACTCCATTATTTGAGACATTTGTGTTCGAGAGCCATAAAGGTGGGGGAATTGACATGAGGGGTAAAATGTCATTTTTTTGTTTAAAAGATGTATTTGTTTGCACATGACTCTCTAAAATATGTTGCTGACGTTGTTTCTCCAATTTTTTACGTTCACGTCTTCGTTGTGACTTTGATTTTTTCTTAGAAATCTTTAAACATAAATAATAAAAAATTATATATATATATATATATATATTACATCTTCACTATTTTAATTTATTTATACAGTTAACTAAAAGCAAATAAATTTTTCATTACTTTACTGGGGATCAATTACGTAACTTATTCCAGATTCCACATTCCTCTTTTCACATTCCGGATCCCACATTCCAAATTCCACATTTCGGATTCCACATTCCAGTTTCCACTTTCCAGATGTCAAATTCCGGATCTTACTTTTCACATTCCGCATTCCGCTTTCAAAATTCCGTATTCCGAATGTGAAATATAGAATCCGGAATTTTGAATGTGGAATCCGGAATGTATAATACGGAATTTTGAAAGTTGAATCCGCTATGTGGAATCTCGAATCCGGAGTACAGAATATAAAATGTGGAATCGGAAATACGAAATTTTGAAAGTGGAATCCGGAATGTGGAATCTCGAATCCAGAGTACAGAATATAAAATTTGGAATCGGAAATACGAAATTTTGAAAGTGGAATCCGGAATGTGGAATCTGAAATTCGGAATTTTGAAAGTGAAATCCGGAATGTGGAATCTGAAATTCGGAATTTTAAAAGTGGGATTCAGAATGTGGAATACGGAATGTTGGATCGGAAAAAAGTTACGTAATTGACTTTCTATGAGAAAAAATTTTTTTCGTGGTTTCAACAAAATTGAAAAACTGAAAAGTTTTAAAAATTTTAATTGAAATTATGTTTATTTGTTCATTAATTTTAGAAGATATGTTTGTAAAAGCGTAAATAAGAGAGAAAAATTTAGTAGACTAGACTAATTTTTAGTCAGACATGTTCAATAACGCCTGCGGTTAGGCAATCTAACTTGCACGTGTGTATGTCAGTCATATCCAGGGATGTGAAAGCGGTAATAAAATGACCCTCTACATGAATGACGCAAGTGTAAATTGGATTGCCTATCCGCAGGCGTTAATGACAATGTTCTAATTAAAATTTGGTTTTTTTTTGTCTATTTTTTTCTAGCTTAATGCAATGTGTACACTTACACTTTCACTTACATTTTTAATAAGAAAAATTTTTTATACTCCACTTTATAATTTCATTAAATTAATTTTTTTAAAATTCAAAATAAAATTTTATTTAAAACAAAAAAAGCTTCTCGGTTTCAGAGAAAATTTCTTTGAATGAAAGAAATTTGTGCATTAAATCAAAGAAATTGTTACATTGATATAGGGTCGAAGAAACATTTATTTGAATTAAATAAAAAATTTCTTTGAAAGAAAGATAATTTTTTGTTTTTTAATAAAAGATAATTTGTTTGAAATAAATAAATTTTTTTTGTATTAAAGAAAAATTTGTTAAAAAATTTGATTTCTTTGAATCAAAGAAATCTTTTTTCTGGGTGTAAATTTAAAATGTCAGTAATTTATGGTCACATTTAGGGTTGTAATTACAGTCGTTTTCAAATCAAGAATATTATCAAATTTTAAAAATTTTGAAAAATATATTTTTTTGGATATTTATCTCTCAAAAATGATAACAGATATGAAAAATCTGACAAAATTTTATATTTTATTAAATAAAACGGTTTTAAAGAATAAAAATTCATAAAATTTGAAAAAATTTTATTTATTTAAAAAGATTTAGAAATACGACTATAAATATGACTGTAATTACGGTTATAATTATGGTCATAATTACGACCCTAAATAAGATCATAAATACAGTTGAAAAATAAATAAATGACCCTATAAATAAGGGCAGAATTAATGTTTCAAATTCAACAACATATACCTAAAGAAAGAATTTCTTTGATTTAAAGAAACCAATTTCTTTGACTTCTTTTCTTTCTTTCAAAATAAAATTTACTTTAAAACCCAAAAAAGTTCTTAGTTTCAAAGAAAGTTTCTTTAAATAAAAGATTAAATCAAAGAAATTCTAATATTAATATAGGATCAAAGAAACATTTATTTGAATTAAATAAAAAATTTCTTTGAAACGATAATTTTTTTTTGAATCAAAAATAATTTGTTTGAAACAAATAAATTTTCTTTGTATCAAAGAAAAATTTTTCAAAGAAATTGATTTCCTTGAATCAAAGAAATCTTTTTTCTGGATGTATTAAAGGTCGTAATTATGGTCATTTTTTTCAATAGGGAAGTAAGTACTGATTCAGTACCAATAGAAACGTATAACACAACTTCAATTCCACTATAAAAAGAGAGAGTCAAAAATTTACTTAACGGTTAATCCAGTCAAGGTATAGTATTTTTAGATTCTATAACTTTGAATCGCAATTTTTTTTCCCTCAAACCCTTCACTTTGAGATAGAAAAAAAATCTAAATTTGATACAAAGAAGTAAAATATAAAATTTTTTATAAAAAGTGTGTGAAAAAAATCAGTTTTTTGAAAAATTATTTCCCCCTTCCCATTACATTTCACTGCAAAAATAATGATTATCAAAAAAGAAAGGAACTTAAATATATACCGAATTTTTCATAAAATTACTAAAAAAAAATAAACGTTTTCTACGAAACAAATTTTTGAGCTACAAAATTAATATTTCTTTAAATTACTCAAAATTTTGTATAATTTTTTCATTCTCATCACTAATTTTACGCTAGAATACAAATGGAACGTAGCAATTTTGCAAAAAAACTCATTTTTTGAAATTTTTTTTTCGAAAACTAAAATTTCTTTTATATAAAATGTGCATAAAGAATTAAATAATTTATTATTACTTATAACAATTTTACCAGTTAATTAATAAAATTAAAATTAAAAAAAAAATTACATGCAAAAAATATTTTCAACGATCAAGAATATAAATTATATATAAAAATTAAACTAGATGTAATAAATTTAAATTCTAATAAAATTATTCAATCAAATTTAATTTTTCGCAAATGGATATTAAAAAGGAAAGTAAAAAAATGCATTATAAAAAAAAATAAAACGGAAAATATATCTAAAGTTTTTATTTTGTTACAAATTTCGATAATTTTCCGATTTTACAAATTTTTGAAAAATGTTAAGTGTTTATATTTATTTTTTTATTTTTAAATACAAAGTTACTGTACAAAATTTAATTTATAAATTACAATATTATAATAGATAATTCCAATTATGTGCCAATATGCCCCGACGTCAGGGTGTATTGGCGCACTTGAAATTACAACGAAAAAAACCACTGCCTCAGGTAAACTTTAATTTAATATTAAACTACATCAAGGTTAAGGAATAAATAGTGAAATCACTAGTTTCCTTAAAAATCAAACCACAAAATTTGAATTAATAAAAAAAAAAATGAACTTACATTGCCGAATTCTTCCATTTTGTCAAGAGTGGGAATTTTCCAATTCACGTAAATTCACAATATATAATTATCTCTACACGAAGAGCCGATACTTTCGTTAATGACCAGTAATTGCAAAAACTGAAAAGGTTTTCCTCACTTCTATCTTATTCATCTTCTATTTGTACCTGTTCTTAATTTTACTATAGGTGGGGGAAATAGTCATATTATTTCTCTCTTTCATTCGTTGTATTATAATAAGACTCTTTCATTTCATTTACCGACAGTATCCGAAGATTACCGAAATTAGAAAGAATTGGTTACGAAGTGTATCATACTATAATACAAGTTGGGTGGGGGAAAATTCAAGATTTACTTAAACTAATGAATAAAATTACCAAAAAAAAAAATCGTTTTTTTGCTTATAAGTATTAAATAATTTCATAATAACTATACAATTTTTTTTCCTTTCTACAGTTTTTTAAGACGCATCTTTTGATTAATTAGCGAACATTCTACAGTTAATGAAATCAGAGTTAATGAAATTTAAAAAATTGAGAAAAAATGATTTTTGCTCCTAACTTGAAAAAAATATTATGATACCTATAGAAATTTTTTTCACTTTCTACAGTTTTACAAGACGCTCTTTTTGATTCATTAGCGAACATTCTACAGTTATTCTATTCAGAATTATTGAAATTTAAAAAATCGAGAAAAAATGATTTTTGCTCCTAACTTGAAAAAAATATTATGATACCTATAGAAATTTTTTTCACTTTCTACAGTTTTACAAGACGCATCTTTTAACTCATTAGCGAACATTCTACAGTTATTCTATTTAGAGTTAATAAAATTTTAAAAATTGAGAAAAATCGTTTTTTTCTCATAACTTCAAAAAAATAATATGATTCCTATAGATATTTTTTTCACATTCTACAGTTTTACAAGACGCATCTTCTGACACATTGGCGAACATTCTACTGTCATTCTATTCAGAATTATTGAAATTTAAAAAATTGAGAAAAAATGATTTTTGCTCCTAACTTGAAAAAAATATTATGATACCTATAGAAATTTTTTTCACTTTCTACAGTTTTCCAAGACGCATCTTTTAACTCATTAGCGAACATTCTACAGTTATTCTATTTAGAGTTAATAAAATTTAAAAAATTGAGAAAAATCGTTTTTTTCTCATAACTTCAAAAAAATAATATGATTCCTATAGATATTTTTTTCACATTCTACAGTTTTACAAGACGCATCTTTTGACACATTGGCGAACATTCTACTGTCATTCTATTCAGAATGATTGAAATTTGAAAAATTGAGAAAAAATGATTTTTGCTCCTAACTTGAAAATAATATTATGATACCTATAGAAATTTTTTTCACTTTCTACAGTTTTCCAAGACGCATCTTTTAACTCATTAGCGAACATTCTACAGTTATTCTATTTAGAGTTAATAAAATTTTAAAAATTGAGAAAAATCGTTTTTTTCTCATAACTTCAAAAAAATAATATGATTCCTATAGATATTTTTTTCACATTCTACAGTTTTACAAGACGCATCTTCTGACACATTGGCGAACATTCTACTGTCATTCTATTCAGAATTATTGAAATTTAAAAAATTGAGAAAAAATGATTTTTGCTCCTAACTTGAAAAAAATATTATGATACCTATAGAAATTTTTTTCACTTTCTACAGTTTTCCAAGACGCATCTTTTAACTCATTAGCGAACATTCTACAGTTATTCTATTTAGAGTTAATAAAATTTAAAAAATTGAGAAAAATCGTTTTTTTCTCATAACTTCAAAAAAATAATATGATTCCTATAGATATTTTTTTCACATTCTACAGTTTTACAAGACGCATCTTTTGACACATTGGCGAACATTCTACTGTCATTCTATTCAGAATTATTGAAATTTAAAAAATTGAGAAAAAATGATTTTTGCTCCTAACTTGAAAATAATATTATGATACCTATAGAAATTTTTTTCACTTTCTACAGTTTTCCAAGACGCATCTTTTAACTCATTAGCGAACATTCTACAGTTATTCTATTTAGAGTTAATAAAATTTTAAAAATTGAGAAAAATCGTTTTTTTCTCATAACTTCAAAAAAATAATATGATTCCTATAGAAATTTTTTTCACTTTCTACAGTTTTACAAGACGCATCTTTTGACTCATTGGCGAACATTCTACTGTCATTCTATTCAGAATGATTGAAATTTGAAAAATCCAGAAAGAATGATTTTTGCTCCTAACTTGAAAAAAATATTATGATACCTATAGAAATTTTTTTCACTTTCTACAGTTTTCCAAGACGCATCTTTTAACTCATTAGCGAACATTCTACAGTTATTCTATTTAGAGTTAATAAAATTTAAAAAATTGAGAAAAATCGTTTTTTTCTCATAACTTCAAAAAAATAATATGATTCCTATAGATATTTTTTTCACATTCTACAGTTTTACAAGACGCATCTTTTGACACATTGGCGAACATTCTACTGTCATTCTATTCAGAATTATTGAAATTTAAAAAATTGAGAAAAAATGATTTTTGCTCCTAACTTGAAAAAAATATTATGATACCTATAGAAATTTTTTTCACTTTCTACAGTTTTCCAAGACGCATCTTTTAACTCATTAGCGAACATTCTACAGTTATTCTATTTAGAGTTAATAAAATTTTAAAAATTGAGAAAAATCGTTTTTTTCTCATAACTTCAAAAAAATAATATGATTCCTATAGAAATTTTTTTACTTTCTACAGTTTCTCAAGACGCATCTTTTGACTTATTGGTGAACATTCTACTGTCATTCTATTCAGAATAAATTAAATTTGAAAAATAGCAAAAAATCGTTTTTTGCTTATAATTTTTTTAAAAATTCATAATACTAATAGATATTTTTTTAGCTTCTTAGAACTATTCAAGACGCATCTTTTGACTTATTAGCGAACATTCTACTGTTATTTTATCAAAAGTTATTGACATTTGTAAAATAAAAAATTTTTAATAATCTCCCTAGTTTGCATAATTTTTGAATAAAGTTTATTTAACTTTAAAATTATTATAACTAACTTAGAAAATACTAAAAAATGAATATAATGATCTATTTGTGAACCTTTTTTTTTAAAATATTACAAAGTTATTAATGTTTCAAAATTTTTAAAATATGTAAAAATATATTTTTTATTAATTTTTAAGAATTTTATATAATTGTTTTTTTCTTTTATACACATGTAATATTGTTTCTTTCATTTAGATACAGTTTAGAGATTTTGCATATACTTACATTTACTGTGTTATTTAAATGAAAAGTTAAAGTAATTATAAACCTAGTTGACAACCAGAAATTCAGAAATCTTTAATGAGATTTTAATTATGTACAATTATTTTCAATGTTCTATATCAAAAGAAATACGGTTAAAGAAACAATAGAAAACTTTGAAGAAATACACATTGTATTTTAATGGGGAAAAACCCGTCCGGGTTTGTCTACTTGGAAAATTTTTGGTCCCTGACCTAATTTATGACACCCTTGTAAATCATGTTTTCTATAATTACTTTACTTGATAAAAATAAATTATTTATTTTAAAAATAATTTATAATTAAAAATTATTTTAATTTTATTTATTTCTAAATAAATAATTATTTTTATTGTCTTATAAATAAAGATTAAAATTTTTATTTATTAAACCATGTGTAAAAATTTCTTAATTTTTTATGATTTATACCTACGATTATCACATTTTTTTAAGGGATTGATTTTTTTGTTTTAAAATATAGAATAAATATTTCACTTACATAAAAATATCAATAAAGAAAAAAAAACATGCGACTACTATTTTCAAATGTTTATAAAAGAAGGAAATATTGTCAATATGCATAAGCATCAATTGTTCCTTAATGTAGTTGTATTATCATAAAACAAAAAGCTTGTATTTGTAAAAATATCGACTAGAATTTTTTGAATTTTATGACTTTCGTTATAAAACGTCCGAAGAAGATACGTGGCTGACAAGTTCCTCGACATTTATTGGTGATGAAGCAAAAATAATAGAATTAGGAGAAAAAATAACATTTCTAATATACCAACTTGTAAATTTCGATTTTAGAAAGAAATTAAATCGTAAGTAAACTAAATTATTAATTTTTCAAAAATTCAAGAAAATTCACATTTGTAAATGATTTTACAGTATTTAAATGTTTCTATTTCAATAAATTCAATACACTTTTTTTTTGTACTAAAAATCAGTCTATTTTTCTTTAAAATCGTTAATTTAATAATTTAATTTTTCCTTTCAGTATTTGAAACTGAAATATGCTCATCAAATTGCAAATAATAATTTACTTTTCGATCGTAACTTTTGTTAGTGGAGAGATAATAATTGAAAATGTTAAATCAAATTGGTTGAATACAATTTTAAAATCAATTACAAATGATCATAAAATTTACCAAACAATATTAATGACAAATAATGAAACAAAAATTCAAACCCACGATCAAGTTGTAAAAGAATTTCAATCAAAACTACCGGTTTTATATCTAAATTCTCCTTTTATTGCAAAAACAACCGAAATGGAATTTAAGAAAATGAAAATTATGCAAAAATCCAAAATCACTCTTTTTTCAATAGTCACATCAATAAATGAAACAATGGATTATAACGAAGTGGAAAAACTAATGGAATTTGTTCAAAATATGTCAACAACCACTATTCGACCAAAATGTTTAATAATTTGTTTCTCAAATTTCAATTCAACAACCATTCATAAAATATTTCTCCAAAAAATGTGGAAAAATTTATTTCTCGATATCACAATTGTTGATATTTTTAAAGGAAATATCACGATTCATCAATTGAATCCATTTATTTCACAATATAAAATGAAATTATTTTCAAAGAATACAAAATTATTTCCTGACAAATTAAAAAATTTAAATGGATTCCCATTGAAGGCTGGAGTTTTTCATCATCCACCATTTATACAATTGAAACGATCAAATACAACAAATGATATAATTAATTTTGATGGACGAGAAGCATTGATTATTAAAGTATTTTCACAAAAAATGAATTTTAAAATAAAATTTATCGAATCAAAAATAAATGATTTTGGAAGATTTAATTGTAAAAAATCAAAATCAACAGCACTTT